TCATGGAAGGGGGAGGGGGAGGGAAAAGGAAGGAGGAGGAAAAAGGAAGGGGGAGGGAAAAGGAAAGGGGAGGAAAAAGGAAAGGGGAGAGAAAGGGGAGGGGAGATGGACAAGGAAGGGGGAGAGAAAGGGGAGGGGAGAGGACAAAGATAGGCTCAAGAAAGGGGGGAAAGGGAAGGGGGGAAAAGGGAGGGAAGGAAGGTTCGACAATGTGGGCACGCATTGTCGTTGTGTTGCGTTGTTGTCGTGGTGTCACATTGCCATTGTGGTGTCGCGTTGCCGTCATGGTGTTGTGTTGCCGTCGTGTTGTGTTGTCATGGTGTCGTCATATGCGCTCGTCGTTGTCTTTGCCAACAGGGTGGGCACTCTACGTTGTGGGCACTCATTGTTGTTGTGTTGTAATGCGGTGTGGTGTTTGTCAACAGGCACTCATCATCGTGAGCACCTGTCCTGTTGTGGTGGTCATTAACAAGACGTGTTGGGATGGGGCACTCACCTTGTTGCCACGTCGCTGACAGCGATGTGGCACCTTGGTTTCCCATCATCGGGGGCACGTCCTCATCCGTGGTCGTGGCCATCTGTTGACGTGGCCATCCTCTGTTGACGTGGTTGTCGTCCATTAGCATGTAGTCATCGTCCATTGACGTGTGGCCATCCTCGTCGTCCACTGATGTGTTGTTGTCCTCATCATCTGTCATTGTCCATTGTCGTCCTGGGTGGGTGATGACGGTGATGGTTGTGGCTGGTGGTGGCTGTTGGCGAGGGTGGTGACGTGGTGTGCCCGGTTGTTGTCGACGACGATGGTGGTGGTTAGAAGACAAATGTTGTGGATTGTTTGATGATGCGAAATCGAGCCTTGGCAAACGATTTGGGCATGGGTATATTAATGTTTATTAATATTATTGATTAGTAATGTGTATTCCAGACATTGCATTCCAGTTGCATTCCCTTTTGTCCATTCCAGTGACCATTCTGGCTACTAATCAGGAATGACATCATTCCTGAGGAATATTTGTCCCCCAGAGTGTCATTTTGGCTGGTGTCTCTGCCAAATTTGATTCCTCTGGATTCCGCTGGATTCCACAGGAATGACCAGAATCCGGCAGGAATCAGTGGGGCATGATAAAGACTTCCGACACGGATGGGAGGCAACACCCATGAAACAACATCCACCACCTACAAAATGTGTCTGCCGCCCACAAACAACATCCACCGCCCACAAAGAACACCTGCCACCCACGAACAATGCCAACCGCCCATGGAAAATGTCCAACACCCACATGAAAAACACCCACCACCCACGAAGAATGCCCACCACCCACGAAAAACACCCACCCACATGAAAAACACCCACTGCCCACGCAAACATTGCCCACCACCCATGAAAATGCCCACTGCCCACGCAAAATGTCCTGCATCCACACGAACAATGCCCGCCCACACAAACATTGCCCACTGCCCACGAACACGCCCACTGCCCATGCAAAATGTCCACCACCCACACGAACAATGCCCACCGCCCACACAAAATGTCCACCACCCACACGAACAATGCCACTGCCCACAAAAACGCCCACCGCCCACACGAACAACACCCAAAACACCCACTGCCCATGAAAACACCCATGCAACAATGTCCACCACCCACACATGAGCGTGTTGACAAAGCCCATA